TGATTAGAAGTTCCATGTCAAGAACTGTCATGAAAATCTAAGTTTTTTCTTGCAATTGAGGTAAATGTTCTGTACAAGAATGTACACATATATACACATGCACGTATTCAAGTGGTTCTACGGGCAGATCTCCACTCATGGGAGTCATCGACAGTACTGAAGTATTCAAAATTCGAAATCTCTTCTGGCAACTCTTCGTCTTTGTCTTCTTTGTTTCCCGCCTCTATGGTGTCTGAAAGTTCGTTTCTACCTAACGTTTCTATGAGCATATGAATCTCGTTGGGCACATTTAGTGTATCGATTACTGCTCTGTGCCGGCCATTAATAGTGGGTGATGAAGAAATAATTGCAAACGTGAGAGAATAACAGCTGAGATGAGGTAGCCGTTTGACTTAGGCTTTAATAGGCGCGATGACAGTAAATATGATATTAAAATAGCGTGGTAGTAATTCTGCTAATCCTAGGTCGTCGGCGAGTGAAGCAAACCTTGAAGAGAAAGCCGCCAAGCATGAGACGAAGAAGAAAACCAACGATACGAAACGCAGCTTGACGCCTTTCAGAATGCTTCAGTCGTTTGGTCAGAGAGTTAGAGACGCAAGTTTGAACAGAAACAAGAAACTAGGTTAGCTTGACCTGGTGAGACGCCAACCTTCAGATGCTTAAGTGCGCTTTTAGCAGAAGAAAAGGAGAAAGGCTCGAAGACGAAGCGGAAAGCAGGGTCTAAACTGGCGGTGGATTCGCAGCAGGCAACAGTCGAGTTGCCTCCTGTCGCGCAGCCTATGGACACGGGCTCAAAGGATTCGCTGGTGGACATGCCCGCTTCCGGCCCCGGGCGTCGGAGCAACATAACGTCGTCGAACACCAGTAGCGAGAAGAAACGCAGGAAGACGCTGCGAATCGAGGAACCGACCCAGGTCTCCACCCGCAGAGAATCCCACATGGACTTGATGCAGCAGATGGCGTATCAGGGCGACGGATCGGACGTCTCCGGCGGTGAGCAAAACCGGTATTACTTCGGCTTGAAGATCTACTCCGGACAGGACATAAGCAATGTGTGGATCGGATGGATCACGCCGCACCTGCATTATGCCGGCGAGACGTTCACGGTTAACGACGTGCGAAAGGTGGACGTCGGTGGCATGGATGAAAAAGGGGATCTCGACGAGTAAGAGTCGTGTGGTCGATGTTCATTGTTAAATGTTTCAAATTCTCCGACCCATCAATACCGATGAGGTATCAATTTGAACGAAACTTAAAAGTGAGCTTTTCTAGACAAGGAACCATTCTAAAGGGCATTGTTCCTTGTGGTCATCATCTTGAGTCGTTCGTGTTAACAGCAAGTCTTAGTGCGTGGCACTGGCCGTGCCTTCAGATTTCCAACACTTTCATTCCACGGCAGCGGTTACCACATCGTGAACAGAATATTTCATCTCCAAATGTAGATCACTATGACTATCATGTTCATTCGTGTCGAGTGCTCGGTCTGTTCGCAGTTCTCGGTCTGTCTCTAGCACTGGAATGAATCGATGACGTCCAACCAATTTGTCTGAAACAGCCAAGCTCCTATTGGTAATCTCTAATCTTCTGAGGATATATTTGCCTTAAACGCTATATTTCGAAACGAAAACTCTCAGTGACCAGAATCGTATGATTACCTTAACTTTGTGCTATGAGAGTAATGGTGATCTTCTGAACGGTGGTCACTTGTTGGATTGATTTCTTAATGAGTAACGGTGAAACTTATTTCTCTCTTGAAAATTAATTGCTCAGCGATCGGTTTCTTCTCGCGACTAACCAGACAACTATGAACCCCGAAATCCGCGGTACCAGCAATCGATACGACAAGAAGTAAGTTCGGTGTTGCATGCTTGAACGATCGTTCCTCCTCTCTGGTGAAAGTACTTCTCCAATGTCTGCCCTACGACCTTCGGTGTAAAGTGCTAGCACAGAGTACTAGCGGTTACGGAAGTCTGTGTTTATGTAGGACTGTTGGTCATACCACAGTAGGTTATGTCATGCCAGAGAAGACATGCTCTTGTCCAGCACGCTCAACTGTATGGTGGTTTCTGTTGATCAGGTGTTGCAGAGGAGTTTTAAATCTCAAAGGGCGGCACAAACATCTCTCAATTCGCATGAGTAATTTGTAGTGTAGTGACGACCGAGGAGTTTGTTCTTACTTTAATGCAGAGAATATACACAGATGTTTTCGAATTGTTTGGAAAGTGGCGTTTATTTCGCGGTGACGCTACTGTTGAGAATGTTGCTTTCCATTCTCGTGATGTGCAAAAATGCTGATTCGAACATTCCAGGTGAGAAGCTAACTTTTTGATGATTATCTTCAACTACCTGCAAACCGGTTTAAAGCAGTCCAGGGTAACTCATACGAGCATAACGTGTATACAAATGTAAAAATGTACATGACAGATCTTCTTAGTGCTTCTTTTGGTGATAAAGGCTTCTAACCATTTTAACACAAAAGACTGCCTCCCGGCTTAAAGCCATCCTGTTTGGCATCTGTTTACGATAAAGTCAGATATGGGATGCTCGTCTCTTTCTAGATCTATCGGCTGTATCATCCTCATCTAAGGCTATTGTACCTTCAGCAGCAAAGCAGACAGCATCTGTGATGTCTGGCCATTCAAAACTTTGTTTCAGACGTGTCTATGCATTTTCTTAGTGTAAATTGTGCAGGAAAGAAAGCATTATTAAATAGATCAGACTATTCCCTGGATATGAGTAGCTCATTGCACGATGTCCTAAGTGTTGTCCGATGCAGTCGTGAGCGCTCAGAACAAAAGCTAGAAGAACAGGTTTAAGTGAAAGATGCCACTACAGTGCATCTCATGATTTTGGACTCGCTACGTTATTAAAACATACTTCTCACCTCCAAAATTACTGAATGAACCTATGAATACGATTTAGCTTGAGAACCTTACATTGGCTCATATACAGATGAAGGCTCACATTTTTTTGTTCGCAAAAGTTATTATTAAATTAACAAATTGCGTAGCGTACACTATAATACTTCTGTTTCTCAGAGAAACTGAGAACTCCCTTTCGACTACACGGGCTTATTCTTCAGTCCATTCCCAAAAGGCGACGGTTTCGCAGCTCCTCAACTATTTAAGGCAAAGCCTGCAGCTGCAAGTTGCAGTTACTATTTTCGCCTTACCCGTGTGGTTTAAACGGGTTCGATTCACGCGTTTTCAAAAATAGGCAGAAATGCTACGGGAAAATCTTCTATTTGATACATGTACTGTTCTTTTG